TATGCCTGTAACTATGCAGATTGCAGCCCTACAAAGAAAGGAGGTTCTTGCTATGACCCGGATAGGCCAGTGCACCATGCCTCATTTGCCATGAATGCTTACTACCAGAAGATGGGAAGAAACCAATGGAATTGTCATTTTAACAATACTAGTCTCATTTCCTTGGCAGATCCAAGTAGGCCTTCAATTTCATAATAATAATTTGTTTCAAAAGTTCAGACTTTCTTTTTCAGTAAATTAAACATTTTGGTTCTATACCATTTTTGCAGGTTACAATCCCTGCTGCCAATTTGTGAGTGGTATGTGTCTATAACTATAATGAGTTTTGCACATTTTCATATGCAAAAATATTTGTATAACTTTACTTTCACTTTCCCTTTTGAAATTTGTAGGAGGATCTGGGCCTCCACTGCCACAGGAAAAGGAGGTAACTCAAATCCAAACAGTATAATTTAAACCAAGATTTCAAATCATCTTAATTATATCAAAATCATTTCAAATGCTTAGTTAAACTTAATTAATTACTATTATGCTGTGTTGGGTTTGCAGGATACTTGGTGTGTGTCTAAGCCAGGAACCCCAGACTCTGCATTACAGAACATCATAAACTTCACTTGTGGAATATTAAAAGAATGCAGTGAATACAAGAACATGGTTCATGCTACTTTCCAAATACCCTCATAAACCATGCCTCATTTGCCATGAATCTTTACTATAAGACCGATGGACGCTACAATTGTGATTTCAATAGTGTTGGCCTTATCGTTGTCACTAATCCAAGTAAGCCAATTTGTTTGATATAATGCACTGCAAAATCTTATGTTTTCTTGACATGAATTTAGCTGCACTGCGTGTGCTTATTCTTGCATATGTTGCAGGTTTTGGTGATTGTATCTATGTCTGAGTCTGCCCAAAAGGAAAATGGAAACTGTAATTTGATGATGCCTCAGAATAATAAGTTTATTGTAATGTAATTTCCATCTGATGGATGATGAAGAATGTCCATTTTCTTTTGTTATCTAATCTAATAAATTTACCCCACTGAGTCTAATGAGTTTGTGTCGAGTTGGCTTTGTATGAGACAAGCTTATGTAAGATTCGGTTTGACTTGACCTAATAATGAGTATTTAAAAACAAGATATAAATATAAAAATAAAATTTAAAGGTAAACAAGTAACAAAGAATCTAAGTACATAAACAAATGGAAGCATCATATATACTCATACTTGGATTCCACTTGAATTTATGTTCTGGTAATATACAACTCATCCGACCATTGTTTCTCTGTGGGTAAAGTGCGATACAAAGTATATATTATATATAGGCCTTGCAACGTTTGTCAATTCATGAAAGGAGTGGGTATGTGGTTAGAATTAATATATGTTGACAGATTTTCTTCTCATTAGTCATTGACTCATTGCTGAGAGAATTATCTCAGATGAAAATGGAAGTATATTAAGCTCCATTATACTTACAGAGTTAAGGTTGAAATTAGAGCTCTATGTATGCAAAACATTACACTGGTACAGGATCTTGTTCGAGGATTTCCTTTCCTGTAATTCCATCTTTCAAAGTTTTAAAGTAAACATTGTAGTCCTTCTCGGGGGTTGGATTTTGACGGTCACTAAATGGCACAACACTTTTAACCTGCAAATGAGTTTATAAGCACCTCAGAATCTGCAAAAGCTTTTAACTTCCAAAAATAGCAAATTACAGCCACAGCACACAATTAAGGGACATAAGTCGGGCTGTGACCTCAAATGTCTTGCCAGATGCATAGGGGCTTTCCAACGCAGCAACACAAATCTGAACAACCTCCTCTCTTGATATCTTACCCTGCATATATCTAAATACTATAAATCATAACATTCAGATATTATTACAATTATAAGGGAAAGAAAGAGTAATACATGTCATCACAGGCATACAACAAAGAGAGAATAGTGATCTTCTATTTGATTATATACCGTTATATTGTCTCCTTGGTCAAAAATGAGATCTACTCCGGCAGGCTCCTCAGTTAATGCACAAGGCCTCACAATTGTATATGGTATTCCACTTTCCCGTATTAAATCCCCCCCTGCTCCAAAACTTATCAATGTACAAAATTAAAGAGCTAAATCTGACCCAGAAATAGAAAAAGAACAGAAAAGAGCTAAGAAGTGGTATTTTGATACACTGATTATATATAAAAATATCAAA